ATGAGTAAAGAAAACTCTCTTCAAATCCATTTTTTTGAACATGTACATGCACTGATTGTTTGAGTGCTAACACAGTTAAAACACATAATGTAACACTAGATGACTGGTTCCTTGCATCCTTAGATTGTCCTACATTTTGAGGGTCTGTTGCTGCATTCCAGTGTTTCTCAGAAGTCGGGATTTCCGAGCTCCGAGTTAAAATTAATTTGGAACGCCCACCTGAAGTCAGATTTCCGACTCAGAAAGTCGGACGATCCTCACCAACTCTGACTTGACGACAACGTCATTATCCAAGATGGCAGCACAGTGCATTTACAGTAAAGAGTAACAGTGAAAGTTCTCGTAATGTATTCTTTATTCCCATTCTGTTTTGTTTTTGTGAAATTAAATAAGTGGTATATGTTGTACTGCCCAACGTCTAACGATGTAAGAGTAAAACATGTGTTATTTAAACTGGTATTGCTAACAACCGCTAACGACAGCTGACAATTGTAAACAACAGCTAACAACGGCTAACAGTAGACGTCCATCTTGGTTTTCCGACTTGTTTACTAGAAAACCATCAACTGAAGTGTAACGTCTTTCCCAGCCCCGACATCCGACTTCTGAGGTGACTGGAACACAGCATGTGATACCCAAGGTTTCTGCAGCAGCTCATTGAACCGTTTAAAAGCCTTCTGCAAACCTCTACGACTGTTGTTATTGATCGGACCTCTGCCAATGACCATGAGACTTACATCACGATTTACATGAAGCACATCCTGAGGTTAAAAAGTGACCAATTAGCTGATGAGACGCAATCTGGTACAATAGATACAGTACATTTTGTTGTTCTCTGCAGGAAACTGTCTTTAACTCAGTTCAACTGTCTCCACAACATTTCAGAGATAATGAAGAGCAGACAGCCACAAGCCAGACCAACTCAGACTTTTAAAAACAGTGAAGAAAATGGATCAGCTCGTATCACCCACTGACCGGGCTGAAGATGAGACTCTCAGAAATAGTGTAGCCTCCGTGCTGCTGAGAAAAAAAACACCTTATCCTCAATGACAGCAAGCTAATAAGCAGCTCATCTTTTAGTCCTCCAATCCACCATCTGCAATTACACCTCTCTTGTCCATCACTCTGTGCAGTGTCCAAGTAATCTTGTCATTACTGGAACTGGAACCAGTACCAATCAAATTTGTCCAATGCCAGGCAGCTTTTCGTTTCTTGGAATCAATTAAGGCCGTCTTTCACTCTTTTCAACGCTAAACAGAAGCTGTTGGGCAAAGCCATCCCTGCTCCTGTTGTTGCTTCATAACCACTGTAAAACAAAACAGCACCAGAACATATGTGTGTCTACTCAAGATGTGTTATGGCCATAGCGGATGCTGATGACGTGCAGCGAGAGAGCAGGTCTTCCGCTGCTCTATTGTAAATACAGAGAAAAGAAAATTGTTTCTTTGAAAAAATGTCTGCAGTGGGCCGGCAGCTTTAACATAGCAGAAAATTAGTCAGTGCGCTCTCTCCCAGGCGCTGGCAGACAATGATGTGAGATTTAAGAGTGGGAGAGCAGAGAGATGGAGAGAAAGTTGATGAATGGGTGGAGGGTACAGAGAAAAGAGCTAGGGTGGAAGAGAATAAACAATGAGAAATGAAGGAAATGGTTCTGTTTCCTTTCACAGAGAGAAAAGGAAGTGAGGATCGGAAAGGTACGGAGGGAGTGTGAAGGAGAAAAGATGACAGTGCTCACTGACTCGGATGACAGGCGAACAGAGAGATTAATTGATGTAACTTCAAGTAAATTCAAAGAAACCAGAAGAGGGGGCAGCTCTGATGGGTGTATACATTAACCGCCTAATCTCGGAGACAAAGAACCGCTGTATCTGTTCTGCAGGCGTTCTCCTTCTGCTAAAGCGGCCGTGCCAAAGGCAACCTGGCAACCTGAGTGCACCTTCAGTCTGTGTCTGTGTGATAGAGAAAGTGAGAATTCCTTCGGTTGCAAGGCCAAGTGTGTAGCCTTCTTCCCCCTTATCACTGACAAGCTCATTGATTACCTCAATGACTGCTGTTCGATTGGTCCCCAGTGATAAATGAGCCACCAGACCCTATTTCCAAAATGACCTAGCAAGTGAAGTGAAATGAAGTGACTGTTTTTTATTTTTTATTGTGTGTGTGTGTGTGTGTGTGTGTGTGTGATGCACTTCCAAGGTTCCCTCACCCCATTTGGGCCATTTTCCCGCAGCTGAAATTGCCTAGCTTTCCACACGGCTGCTCTCCTCCACCACACGGAGTGAGTTAGTGAGAGCAGTCGGCCGGTCTGCCAGAGCAGACTGACAGAATTTGGTTAATGAACTCAGCTGAAGTAGAGAAAAATAATTACAAACCAATCTGTGTCCTTGGATGCTGATATCTCCTGGAAAAGAAAAAAACAGAAACATGAAAGGTTTGAAAGAAGGAAATGCTCTCCTGAAGATGAGCCAAACATTTTGTAGTAACTTTCTGCATATTAAACATTTTAGGTGTTTAAAATGTGATTCTCTCTTTGAAATCAAATACATTAAGCGTGTGCTTCAATATAAACACAGTTTAAATCAAACCATTTGGTTGCATTTAGAGTTGTGTACACTGACCAAGACATGTGTCCTCTTGCCTGTTCGAAGCATAGTCAACCCAGACTACTTCTCTTTGGTTCCCCGTGTGAAACAGTTACTCACAGAGGGAGGTGTAGGTGTTGGTCGCAAGCTGAGCTAGCAAAGTGCCCAAACATCCCGCTTTAATAATTTCCGTTCACCTACCGTCCATCTATTTCATCCCCTCTTTTGATTGGTCTCGGCGCGCACAGATCCACTCAACCTCAGCAGTTGTGACCTTGCTGTGGTTTTAAGTGGATCTCTCAACTCTGGACTCAAAGCCAGTTGTTGTATAACAGCAGATAAACCGCTTCTACAACAAATGATATTTGATTTGAACACACAGCTACCCACACAGACACACAAGCAGCAGACAGCTGGGCACTGAGGCGACTCACGGTCCAGTCAGCATCAGTCAGCATCATCTGTGCCTGTGGAACAACTTGGTACACAGACAGACGCACACACACATACACAGAGTATGCTCAGTTCTTGCTGCATGGTCAAGATATATGTATAGGATATATTTAGTGTAGGTACAGTTTGACATTGACTCGTACTCACCTGAGCACAGCCCTGGAATAAATGCATGCACACACACACACTCTCACACGTACACATGCATGTAGTGGAAGGGATTCATTCTTCCAAGCATACAGTAATTTGAATTCAAACAGTGGTATCTGGTGTCTACTGCACACCGCCTAGGGAGTGACACACACACACACACACACACACACACACACACACACACACACACACACACACACACACACACACACACACACACACACACACACACACACACACACACATAGGCACAAGCACACACACACACAAGCACACATTATATCATCATTCAGGAGGCGACTAGCCTGTCCCAAGCTTTAACCTGTCCTTGTCTGTTCTGTTTGGAGTCAGCGGTATTGTCCACACACACACACACACATTAACACAGAGACACACACACAAGCAGGCACACACATACACTTAAAAAAAAACACCCTCCTTTGTGTAATGAGATGTAGTTCATTATTCATACAGGCATGATATTAGCCTGCCTCTGAACGTACAGCCATAAGTGTTTCATTAGGACTTATGAAAACACTTTTCTCTTACCCTATGACATTTAAAGTGTTGTGCAGACTTTGTGACTCACCAACAATAAGTGAACAGTTGTCAGACTCACTTAATTGAAGCTATTCGGAGAAGCCGGTTCCTTCCTCTCACATCCTCAGTGCGTTTCTTTTCATCTCTGTATGCCGTCACTGCTAACCTGCTCTCCCTACGTCAAAGCAGCCGTGGCTGAGAAGGGCACGTGTCGACACTTTTTACACCAACAACAGCAGATCCAGAGAGTTGTTTAGCATTAGGGTGCAACCACTTAGACATTTCAAATCATTTTAGTTTTACATTTTTAATAAGCTAAATGAAATGCAGAGGTTGTGTTTGAAGACTCCTAGTGGTAGTACATGAAAAAACTCAAAAAAACTGTCCTGATGTTTAACACAAGCCTGAGTTCAATTAAACCCAACATCAACACTGTAAAACAAACTGAGCTGTATTTGAATCTAAATGAGACTGATCCCCTTATTGTTTTATTCAGTTCATTTATTTATCAGTCTGCTTTTAATTAGAGATTTCTTTCTGTATCTAAATGTTAGATTAATCTATTTTCTATTTTTTGTTTTTCTCATGTACAGTCTGCCTTAAACCACCTCACTCAGTCAGCGTTGATAAAAGTGTTTAAATCACGAAAGGTTGAGCACTAGTCTCTCTGTCCTATTTCTCCACTCTAACACTTAGATTAGAAGAAAAAATTCCATCGCTGTATAACGTCAAATGATTATATTTTAAATATGAAGTGATTTATAATTTTTTAATTCCATGTACTAATTATGCTATTTTGCATTTCAAAACAGTTTTTTAATATTAAAAATGTAAAGCCAGTATTTTGAGTGTCTTGATTCAGAAATCAAATAAATAAAATGTCCTTGATTATAGAAGTAAATTCATCACGCATATCCAAGTGTGGATTATAATTAGACCCAGAAGTAGGAGACAGCTTTAAAGTGCTTTTTCTATGTAATGAAGTGTTGATTTAAGTTTGTATTTTTCAACTCTGTTATATATTAATTATGCTGGAGTGCATGCACAGAATATCAGTGTCAGTATGGTGTGCAGTTAAACCCAGATGATTTCGATTACTCACTGACGTGCAATGAGTCGTTGTTAATGCGACAGCATTTGCACTTTTTAGAAGTTTTCCAGTTTGGTTGCTTTCTTGTTTTCATACAGGTCTTGTATGTGTGAAATGATGGTTTCTGACTTTTAGATATGATTGGTCAAAAGTTTTGACCAATCATATCTAAAAGTCAGAAACCATAAGGATCTAAGGAACGTCCTCAGGTTGGTGTGTTTTGACTCAAAACACACCAACCTGAGGACGTTCCTTAGATCCTAGCTCCAAATCTGTGGTGATGTGCACACTCAAAATTAAAGCTCTGCTGGCTTTTCAGAATCAGGATCAGCTTTATCGGCCAAGTATGTGTACACATACAAGGAATTTAGCACAAACATTAAACATGAAACAGTAGTGCAATAGTGCAATGATGAGGAGTGCAGTGAAATGAAGTGTGGTTATAAAAGAAAAATATACATGTCATTTTATTACAGTATTAACATTAGGATAAATATTTACGTGTGCAGAGGTTTATGCACACCGTTAATATTTGTCATGTGTTTACCCAGTGGTATCAAATTAGTTAGCTGCACTTGTAATCTTAGTTAACAGGTTTAAGCTCAAACTCAGAGTAGTGTACTACTTTCAATCTGTCAACTGAGCAGCCTTTTAAGGTGAAATGTGCCGCTCAGAAGCACAGTGGTGCTGTTATTTTCCATCATAGCTGCAACAGGAGTGGGAGCTTAACTACAGTGTGTCAAGAAAGACAAAAAAGGATGTGATTGAAAAACAATCTGAACGTCAGACTTCAATTCCATCATGTTACAATGACAGCCTTTATCTATCTATCTATCTATCTATCTATCTATCTATCTATCTATCTATCTATCTATCTATCTATCTATCTATCTATCTATCTATCTATCTATCTATCTATCTATCTATCTATCTATCTATCTATATATAAGGTTTGCAAGATGTGCTACATGAAAATAAAATATAGCACCAATACGTAACATAAGGGAAAGAAAAATGCTAAATTAGCTAAACAGTTGAAAAAATTGTATAAATATTGTATTGCAATATTTACTGTATTGCAAAATGTTTAAAATAGCAATAATATCAAGGGGCAACTGATGATTCCCACCCCTAAAAGGGGCGGCAGTAGCTCAGGAGGTAGAGCAGTCGGCTAAAAACGGGAAGATTGGCAGTTTGAACCCCGCCCTATCCGTAGTCTGTCTGTTGTGTCCTTGGGCAAGATACTTGACCCACCTTGCTCCCAGTGTGTCCGTCCTCCACTGTTGTATAATTGTGAGTGTTGTGTGGTGGTGGTCAAAGAGGCCGTAGGGGCAAACCGGCAACCACGTTTCCGTCAGTCTGCTCTAGGGCAGCTGTGACTACTAAGGTAGTTTACCACCACCAAGGTGTGACTGTGTGAGCGAATGAATGATGTACCCGATGTAAAGCGCTTTGAGGTCAATGACAAAAAGTGTATATATATTTTTTCTTCTTCTGAGAACTACTGTGTTTATGTTTATTCCACATAATTTGTTGGTGACACTACTTTACTCAGTTACTTTGCTGTGTGGTTCCTTAGGTGTGGGGTTTATAGTCCTGCAAAAAGGCAGCCTATTTACAGCTTTACTCAAATAACCCCTGTCTGTGTATCCACTGTTTGTGCACGGTTGTGTTGTGTTTGGGAGAGCGACAGAAAGAGAGAGAATAATTAAAACTGCTGAGTCACAATCACTCAAGCTTTCAGAGTATGAAAAATACTGGAACCAAATTGTCAGCGAGGAAAAAAAAAAGAAAGGATCTGCCATGGTGACAACAATTTATTTTCAGGCCTTTATTTTCATACTGTGCGTGACAGCAGACTCAGCTGAGCGTAATGATATGGAATATGTTTTTCGTCAGGGTGTAAGTCACAGTTTGATTGATCTTGAAGACTGAGTCACTTCCAGACATTTGTCATGACTGATGAAGTGGAAGGAGGAACAGTTTAGCATAAGAGGGAAATCACTTGAAGTGTTTTTCTGTTGTTGTCTGAAAAACTTTGACTGCCCAGGAAGGTTATTATCAATCATGATTTCGCCCAATTAAACTACTAAATAGTGTTTAAGTGGCTTTCTGTTTTCTCTGAGGAACAAAAATCTCATATTTTAGGAAATTTTTAAAGGTAGTAATAAATTTCCACAGGTAAAAAAAAAACAAAAAAACTGCAGAAATATTACATTTACTGGGAAAAAAAATGCAAGAACTTAATAGAGATACAAACAACGTTAATTACAAACATAATGAAACTGTAACCCAGCTGGATGTCAGGTCTCTCAGGTGTGTAATGTAACAGAAATTGGTTTAAAACTACATCGTCTAATTTACTGTCTTCATCTTCCTCGGTACACTTGCCTCTTCCCTCTTTGTATTCATATTTTTCTATTTCTCTGCCCCTCATCGCCTCCCCCCCTTTTTCTTCTTCCGACTGTTCCGCCTTAGCCTCGCTAACACCAATTATACTGTGTCAAATCCATGCATGTCAGTTTCCAGATCCCTAATCATCCCTTCTCTCTTTCATCTGCAAATCCTTTGTTCCTCCCTCCTCCCCCTTTTCCCTTCTCTGTAACCTTTCTTCTTCTCTCCTCACCCTACCCCACCCCTTAGCCTGCGCAGTGTACACACAGCCCAGCCTCCTCATCCTCTTTCCATTTATCTTTATTACATTTGCCTCTCTGTCTGCCTTTGATTTCTTTTATTTCCTATTTCATTTTTAAACCTCTTTTTGTCTCCATGACCCCGACATCGTTGCATAGATGCACTTGCAGTTTTGCATATTGGTTTTCCTGTGTCAATAAGCCCTTGAGACACTTTCCTGTAAAAGTTGCTGCTAGGTTGTGTACTTTCACACAGTCAAAATCATTGTTAACCTTAATGACATGTCGGAGTGCAACTTCTTCAAGTCAGTTGCATCAGCCTGCAACTTCACATCCAGATTTTACTGTTATTTTTCTTGATTGTTCTTCTTTTATTAAACATATCTCCACTTCCATGTCTACTTTAGTTTTAAAAAAGCACTGCATTCAATAACAGTCAAATGTTTCTGTGTACTCCACAGTGCGAATCTTTGTTGTATCTCCGTAAGAGACGTATTAATAGGGAAAAAGATTCAGGCTAAACCTGTCCTGAGGGAAAAAGGCAGTAACACTGATAAACAGCACTTGTTTTTTCCTTTATAATATGTTTTTTTCCATAAATAGAATTTGCCATCTCCATGCATAACATCCCCTAAAGCACAGAATAAAGCACTGCACCCGAAAAATAACTTTGAAAATAAAAAAGCCTGCACTACTTGTCGAAGATAAGAAATTTGGAGGGAGATGGGAGAAGGTCTGATAGAAGAAACTGAAGAGTTGCATTCAGGGAAAAGCAGCGTGTTTACACCTTGTGGAGTGGAAGTCAAAAATGATTCCAAATAGGGCCGGGCGATAAAATTATAATGATATATATTGAAAATTAATTTCCCTCAATATCAATATAAAACATGGTCAATATGCTTTTCAATTGTCGTCATTCTGCAATGTTTTGGTAGACAATACGAATAGCCAATGAAAAGGGGAGTAGCTCCGTGTCCGCTTCAATCATGTGCTGAATTAGAATCAAGTAACAAACAACTGCGTCGTAGCAAACAGCAGTTACACCCAACCACAGCACTTTAACAGGTGAAGCCGACAGCACTGTTGGTGAGAAAAAAGAAAATGAGCGCATTGTCGACAAAACTGGCACGAAAACGTCGGTGGTGTGGAGGTATTTTGTTTTTTTTGAGGCCGGACATGAAGCAGAATAATGTGTACTGTAAATTATGATGAGTACATGTTCTCACAAAGTTGGGGAATACCTCAAATCTTTTCACCACCTGAAGCAGCGCCACGCCGCAGAGCACGCACAATGCTAAAGGTTACAAACCCTGAGCGGTATGGAGCCCATGGCGACTGTGCAGCCGAAACAGCCGACCATTCAGTCCGCTTTCAGATGCAGGAGCAATAAGCACTGTTAAATTTCATTTTTTATATCGTTATATATATCGGTATTGACTGATATGAAAAAATATATCGTGATAAACTTTTTCCCATATCACCAAGCCCTAATTCCAAGCTATTCTGCTTTCATTTTTTATTGTTTATCACAATCTGTGCAATTAAGTGCTTTTTTTAAAAAATGCTGAACTATCCCTTTAAGACTCAAGTGCAAAAGATAGAAAGAAGAATCGTCTTCACAGGTCGACAGCTGATTTTAATGTTTTTTATAGACTGATCTAAATGCATATAGAAGTAATAATACAGTCAGCTCTGACATTGACATGGACAGGCCATATTTAAACTCTTAATGAAATGAACCGTTGTCAACCTTGAAGGAAGACTATTTGACAGTCAGCTGACTTGTAAACGCCATTACTTAGAAGGATGGATCCAGCAGTATGTTACATGTTATATGTCTAAGGTCGTTGTCTGCCCCCCTCCCTCGTCTGTTTCCCAGGAAGAACAGACACATATTAGGAGGTGTGTGTGTGTGTGTGTGTGTGTGTGTGTGTTGTGACTGTAGTAGCAGGGGGGCAGGGCTAGGGAGAGGGAGAGAGAGCCAGAGAGAGGGTGAGGGAGGAAGGGGGAGGGGTTTGTTTATTTCTGTTGTGTTTTTTTTATGGTAACTGCGCCTCCTGAGCCCACAGGAAAAAAAAAAAAAAAGCAGGGAGACAGGGAGGGAGACAGAGTGAGAGAAAGAGAGAGAGAGAGACCGAGATGATGGAGAAAGAGGGAAGATGGTTAGCAAAATGAGCGGCGGCCGAGAGACGGGGGACAAACGCGGCAAAGGAGGGAGTGATGGACGGACCCACGGACGGATAGAGGCAGCGCGCGTGTCAGTCTGCCGCTCCTTGCCCAAACAATGAACGTGCTGTGGTCGCTGCCGGCAACGCATCGTCACGGCAACCGGAGCCAGAGGGGTGCGCACTGAGCGAGAAAGGCAGAGAAAGACAGGAGGAGGGGGGGAGGAAGGAGGAGAGAAAGAAAGAAAGAAAGAAAGAGAGAGAGAGAGATGGTGTCTTCATTTCCATAGATAGATCCTTCCTCTGTTTGTGTTTGTGTCCTTATGTGTGTGTATGTGTGTGTGTTTGTGTGTTCTCTGTGCTAGATCATGTGTGTGTGCGTGTGGTCGCTGTGTGTTAGTGGTCAGCTGTCTGACACCATGATCTTCTGTAATCATCTAGGTGAATACAAGAAGGATGAGCTGCT